TGCAGGACTGGGCAGTGTTTCATTCTGTTGTACATAGGGTTGCTATGAGTGGGAACTGACTCAACAGCACCTAACAACAACATAAAAACAACCATAGTGTTATTATACCTGACAAGAATTAAGAACTAAAAAATGAAAAGACATTTTAGAAGGAAAAGCTGAGGAATTAATGAAGCAGCCTGGGTAAGAATTAAATTGATAAGAATAAGAATCAACTTAATTTAGTTGGAAAAGAAAAAAGTCAATCCCAAATAAGAGCATTTATCCATTCAAGTAATCTTTAACCCTCATCTCATAGAAGGCACTGTGCTAAATTCTGCTGAGCAAGTATTTATGAATAAGACTCATTTTTTTTATCATCATGAAATTTAAAGCTAGAATGATAGATACGATAGCCACAATAATAATTATAAGACAAAATGTGACATTGCATAGAGAATATGAAAAGAAGTTTGAACACACACACACAATTAAGAAGCTGAAGAGGTAATTTCTGATTGGGACTATTAGAGGAGGTTTCAAGGAAGACATAATATTTGAGCTGGATCTTAAGAATGGGTAGAATTTCAACTAGTAGAGATTAGGAATAAAATGAAGAAGAGATTAAGGTGAAGGACATATTCCAGATAGAAGTAAACGGCATTAGCCAACGTATAGATAATGCATAGCATTAACTTGGAAAAGTGAGTTATTCAGGATAGCTATAAAGTAGGGTATATTTATGGGAGTATTCAGATTTAGGGAAGGTGCAGTGTGATGGATCACTTTTATATGGACTTTCTCGCCATGATCTTGTAACTCCCACTGAATGATTGGGTGGGACTATGCAAATAAGGTGCTTATGGCTCACCAAGGGGATTGGACAGCTTTCTAATAATGCAAATAAGAGGCATGGCACCCTTATGGGGATAAAAAAAGAAAACCAAACCCACTCCCATCAAGTTGATTCTGACTCATAGCGACCCTATAGAACAGAGTAGAACTGTCCCATAGGGTTTCCAAGGACTGCCTGGTAGATTCGAACTGCTGACCTTTTGGTTAGCAGCCAAGCTCTCAACCATCACACCACCAGGTTTCCCTTGTGCGGATGGGACCATACAAATAAAGTGCATGGAATGCTAGCAAGGAGGTTGGTCAGTTTTGTCATCCCTCTAGGTTTAAAATGAGCCATACCAGAGGCAGAAAGGGGAGACCTCACTACAACAACGAAAGAAGAGCTGGGAGTGAAGCATGTCCTTTGGACCCAGTGTCCCAGTGCTGAGAACCTCCAAGACCCAGGAGACAGAGCTGTAACACTGGAGATGATGCAAGATGGAGACAAGCAGTGGCAAGTGCAACAGAGAACTGGTAGCAGCAGAACCAAGAAACCAGCAGAAGATGATGTGGTGGGCTTACTGGCCCATGGAGGGAGACAGCTGAGTGCCTTCGGGCAGGAGGCTTGCTGACAGAGTTGGGTGCCTCCATGTACTTGGCGGAGCTAGGCTTGCCAACCTACAGAGTGAAAAGCTGAGCGTTCTCAGGCAGGAGGCTTCCTAGCAGAGTCGGATGCCTTTGGGAACTTGTCAGTGGAGCTGAAGAGTTTTGTAACACTTGCCCAAGAGGGCAGAGGCCAGGCCGGCTCAAGAGGCCTGAGGGGCTGTCTAGGGCCCAGAGAGAGGCCTACCTTTGGGCACAGCTGAGAAGCTGTCCTGACAGAAGAACTGTATCCTGAGTTGTTCCTGATCCTGAATTATAACCTGGTACCTCCCTAATAAACCCCATAATTGTGAGTACTGTCTGTGAGTTCTGTGTGGCCATTACAACAAATTATCGAATCCATTAAAGGGGTAAAGAGTGCCATGGGAGGGACAGCTGGTGTAGGAACTGGTGAGAAGGTTGAAGAGAGAATGTACATCTGACCTCCACTTCATAGGAGTCAGCCACGGACAGTTGATGCTGATAATGATTCTCTCTCTTTCCTCTGGTGAAGTTAGATGAGGAGGTCTGATGCCCCCATGCCATCATTTTTACAGAAGGAAATTATTTGCACTCAACTACTAACCTATAGGTTAGCGGTTCAAACTCATCCAGCAGCACCATGAAAGAAAGCCTAGCAATCTGCTCCATAAAGATTACAGCCAATAACAGCACAATTAGAAGAGCGTAGTCAATGTCACTTAAATGTGTATGTAAAAAAAAATTTTTGAAATGGCATATCTTTGGCTATGTGTATTTTCACAAAAGAAAAAAAAAAAGTTGAGAATTTAGAGGGTTAAAATGTTGTGGGGTTGTTAACCAATGTCATAAAACAGCATGTGT